ATAAAACTGAAACCTAGTGCATTTTAAGGAGTGGTTGGTTGAATATTTAATCCTAGCCACAAATTCATGAACTTGTGAGCATAGGTTATTATTCCTTGTTTACAAAATTTAAGCTACCCTAAATTTAGATGGGACTTTTAAGTCCTATTGATTAACAGAAAGAAAAGGTAGTTTAGCACAAATTCCATTACAGATTAAAGCACCCACAAACACCACTGTACATAAGTCCATTAGTTTTCATGATTACTGTTTTATAATTACAAACGGTACCAATCCAAAATTTTAAACCAAAATCAGATAGTAAATTGAAACAAGAGCTAATGACACTTCAGGTACCTAGGTACTATAGTTTTCAAGAGGTTCCTTTTGTAGTTGAGTCCTCAGTCTCTGCGGAAGCCCTTAATTTTTCAATTATCCTTCTCCTATTAAGTCTACATAATAACTGCCATTCTGATAAAACCAAAATGACTGTTTGAAACTTCCAGACATTAGATCTTAACTTTGAACTTTTTGTGCCCCTCTATTACCAATACACCTCAGAAAACTGACAAATACCAACATTCTCCCTAGAAAAATATATCATCACAAAATTTTATATACACATTGTGGGAATTCACCGACTTCCAGAATCATTTCACTATAGCCCTTAGAACCCAAAAGGAGAAACTTGTACTCAAAAATAACTTGGGCACAACAGAAAGCTGAAACTAGATTTTATCATTGCTTCTCAATTACCTGTGATTTTATCTGGATTAAAAAATCTTGGTTTATAAAATTTTAAAGGAAAAAAAGATTATTTTTAAAAATGAGAAACCAAATTTTTAAACTTATCATTTAAAGTAATTTAAACTTATTTTTATAAAAAAGCTCAATTTTTATCATTTTGAAAATGTAGTGCTGAACAATTTTTATCTATCAGATACATACATACTTCCAATTTCCCCCTAATTAAAAACAAAAACCTGCCTACTTTATAAACGGTCCTTAACTTGGGTCTAATAAGATTGCACACTTAGCCAGTAATGAAGGATATAATTTTAAGAGAAGACAGGTGTATAAGACTCTTTCATCTGCTTAGAACCCTATTAAAACAAGGTATTGGATTGTGATGGTTAGACCCTGATTCTAACAGTCTCAAAGGTGGCTTTGTAGGTAATATCAATATAATATGATCATTAACATTTTATTATTATTATTTTGTTTTAGCTGAGCCATCCTGCCACCTATTGGCAGCTCAGCTGCAACTCAGTTTGGGCCGGGAATCGAACTGCTGTTACTCAGAGCTCACACTCTTGAGCGAGTTCTTAACCAACTGAGCCACTCGGCCGGCCCTATGATCATTAACATTCTAATTACATCACATATTCTACCCAAACCAGTCTAAGTAAGAGAAAAAGGTTAATTCTCTGCCCCATATAATAAATGGAGCCACATACCCCACCCATCCCAACCAAAGAAGCTAAACCACTATGGGAACCAGGCAGTTCCAATTTGTTAAATATCACTTTGAAACTAATGTTTTCAGAATGTCTTTCCTAAAGTGATAAGTATTCAGAAAAGAGAATTATAACATTACAAGCTCCAATTTTAATCAAAATAGGTCAATTTTAATAAAAATACGCAATAGTACTGATATCTTATAAAAGTTACCCTTTTCAATTAAAGGTGAAGCTGTGGCACTAAACTTAGTATTTTAACATTTCTAACTTTAAAGTTAAGACCTTAAAACTAACACTATAATCTTAAATAAAAATGTTAAAATGTTGTAACATCTGTCCCCTTCCCAAGTGCTTAAACTTCTGAAATTTTTAAGCCCTAAAGGGACTCATTTATCTCATATTTAGAGCTATTGACTTCCTATTTGAAAATTACTTCTATAATTCAGTAAATCAAAACCTTTATCAAATTAAGAATTAGAATCATAAACTGTATCATTCCATGTATTATTGCTCCTTTTAAAAATGCTACCTTGTGTTTTAAAATTACTGTTTTAACCAACGGTTGGTAACAAGTACCCTTAACTTTTCAGGAAAATTGATTTACTTTTTGATTTAGCAAATTACAATGTACTACATTATACTAATTCAGACATTTACTCCCTAACATCTATGACTCAACCAAGTCCTTCAATTTATTATAATCTGAAGTTGCTTTTCAATCCTACTACAATAATCAATGACTTAACAACTAAGTTCTAAAGTTGAGAAAAATTAATTTTGGGGGAAAGGAGGGGACTTGTATCTAAAGTTGTTTCTTAAAAATTAAGAGGCATGCCTAATTAAGTCAGTGTGTTCAGCTTATATTATAAAAATTGGTTAAATGGGACACATTAGTAAGTGTTATTTTCCCAGAATCTCTGTCAAGTTTACCACAGAAACAATCTATGGTAACGATTACCAGGTATAGTTCACTTCACACTTTTGCAGAAACATTTTGATCATGAAATGCTTTCTTAATGATGTGGTGTATAAAGAACTGTTCTCATCTAAAAACTGCCCCATCTTTCATGATCAAGATAGAATTTTGCTTTTTCTAAATGAGACAATTCAGGTTCTAGGTCACTCCAACCTAAGAGACACCTAACTAATGTGTCAAAGGCAAAAGTCTATTTTAACTCTTTGTCTTTATAAGTAAATCATGCTCCAGCAAATTATTAAAAAAAAATTTGTTTTTCTAAGGTTTAATCAGAATTTAATTACATTTATTTATGCTTAGTATACATTTTCACAATTGCGTAACATGCTTTCAACATTGTGATTTATATAGCCACTACTACCAGCATGAACCACAGGACTATAGAACAGCTGTTTACCTGGTACTGTTTATATTCTTCTATTAAGTTCAGTTTCTATTCCTGAGGTCTATGCTTCACTGATCATAGTTTTGGTTGGATGTGAAGTGAAACCGATGATAGAAAAAGGTAGTGTGAAGGAAAAAAAAAATCCCTTATGTCCCTCAAAAAGACTCATGTGTTACAACCTAATGAGATCCACTGCACTATAAAATGTCAAAATATTTCAATGAACAAAAATTATCTGTAATATTTAACAAGCATATTGCTACTTGAGTTGATCTCAGCTTTGATTTCCGGTTGTACCTCTTGGGCCTGTCCAAGACTTAAATAAAGCAAGACTTAACTAAATTCCTAAAGTGTACTGTAGTGCTATCTTGCTTTAATCAGGGTTCTCCCCCTTCTTGGCTGCAAAACAAGAACTACAAATTAATTTCCAGGGCAGTGTAACACCAATACCCCAAATTTAAGTATTATCTGTAAAACTTATAAACAGAAACAAAAATAAAACCAAAAGACAACATTCTGCAGTCACAAGTACTTTAATTTTTAAAAACAAGTCACTTATTTAAAAATAAACAAATGGCACCATTCTACTCTAATGTTGATACAAGTAAAATAAGAGTTCTGTCTCATAACGTGCTGAAAGTCAGTACTACACTAGACAATCTCAACTACTACATACACTTATCACTTAGCTTATCTGTAAAGTTAGATTTGAGACACTACTCTTAAAAGTAACATTCGACTGTCAAGACTATTTTACTTTAAAAGGTTAAACAACCCAAACAGTTTAAACAGCTTTATTTTCGAAATCAACATTACAGAGCATAATTTCTACATTTAAAATTCTTACAGTACCAATAGAGGTATTACAGTACAATTTTCCATAACAAAATTGTAGCACACAAATCCAGCGACTCCTCGACTTCCTTGAACTGTCAATACACTGCACCCTGTTTAAATGGCTGTACCTGAAAACCAAGGTATGCAATTCCTTAGGATTAGAAGTCATCAAGTTATACTGTCAAGGATCTGGGGGAAATGAGAGGAAGATTCTATTATCCTTGTGTCTGAACCCAACTTCCATAACAAGGTAAAGCCACAGGTATGATAAAATGTCTATTAGCTGTAAACGTTTATATACGGAAACCCACCCAAATTAGACATCTCAATGTTAAGATTTCTGTGAGTGAATTCACTTTAGTTCCGTTGTGGATAAGAAAGGTCCCTCTTTCAAAATTTACATCTATAACAGCTACTTAAATTGGGTGTTTTCTCTCCCTACGTTGAGAAGCCAGAAAGCATGCGAAGTTAAATTTTATTTAAAAAAACAAAAACAAAAAATAGTAACAATAAAGTTACAGGTCTTAAGAAGAGCCACGTACTCCAAAAATAAAAAATAAAATAAAAAAAATCTGCAATATATTCTCAAGGATCAAAGGAAAAAGTCGGGGACAGTTTACATGTCCTCCGACTAACTAGACTTGGGAAGGGATGGATGCAAAAGTCCCTGAACGAGGATACAGAAAATAAGTCGTAAGTGCTATGAAAGTCAGTCGTCTGGGCAAACAAACAGTGCCCTCGACATTTCGTTGCAGAGAGGGAGGTATAAGCCTCAAAGACCTGCAGTCAACATGACTTGCCCCTGTGAAGCTCCACGTGGGGGCCGCACTGAGCCTCACAAGCTTTCCCGGCCAGCGGGAACTGAAACGCCCCACGGTGCACAGAACCTGCGCTCCCCGGCGCCGGCAGCGCGCGAAGGCCGAGGTGGCCCTAGAGCGCCACCCAGCGGCCCGCGGAGCGGCCTGCAGGCGGGTCCTCCCCGGCTCCCGGATCGCCGCACCCCCACCGCCACCCAGCCCGTTCCTCTCCGGATGCACAAGGCCCAACCCAACAACTGAGACCACAAAATGGCTGCCGGCAGCTTCGTCACGTGACCCCTTTGTGCCTTTCGGGTTCCCGAACTCCGTGGGACCCGGGTACAAGTGGCCGGGGTCGGCGGGTGGCCTCACAGGAGGCCCCGCCGGGCCGCGGCGGCTGGGGGTCGAGGCCGGGGGAGGCGGGGTAAAGGCCCGGCCGGCGACTGAGAGTCGGCGGCGGAGAGAAGATGGCGGCCATTTTGTGTGGGTTTGCTGCTCCGCCGCCGCCGCAGGCAGCAGAGGGAGCGGGGCCTGGCGGTGGGTCGGACAGGGGAGTTAACACGTACCGACTCCTCTTCCTTCTCCATTCCGGTGGGCATCTGCGGCACGGCCCGGTTTATCGAGGCGTATTCGTGCAGGTCGGGCAGATCCTCACAGCGGAAAACAGGCAGCGGCTTCGAGGCGTCTAGCGCCCGCGCCCGAAACGACAGTTTACTCATCTCAGGCGCAGCAGATACCTCTCCGCTCTGGGGAAACGGCCCCGGCCAGCGGGATCATGGAGAACCGGGGGTTCGGTCCCCACTCGCCTACCGCTGCCGGGACTTGAGGGGCGGAGCGCAGAGCCCGCCGTCCGGGCACTAACAGCAGCCGGGAGGGTGGGAGGCTGTGCCGCTCCGCTCCTCTCTCGCTCTCTCTCTTCAATACGCCATGGCCAACATGGCGGACATTAAAACTCCACTGTGCGCTCTTCAGCCAACCCCAGCCATTCCCCACACTGCATCGCGCAGCGGCGCGGGCCCCGGCGCCCGCTGGCCGCGCTGGCCGCGCCTGGCTGCTCGAGGCCCCCGCCCTCCGCGGGCCCGTAGGCGGCCGGGGCGGAGGGGGCGCCTGGACGCCGGGAGCCGACTCTCCGCGCCTCCTCTCGCTCACTTTCTCACGCTCGCTGTCTCCCAGCGCCGTTTGCTGACAGGCGAAGGTGCAGGGAAACTATCTGCACCGCACGCCGGCTTTCCGAAAGGCCAAGGCAGGAGAATTGCTGGGCGGCGCTATTGCCTGAGATAGGCGAGCTCCGGCACCTGTCACCCCGGCTCGCAGCCGGCACGAGGGGCAGGGGCGACGCCGGAGGCCACGGCCGCGGGCGGTGGGGTTAGGAGCGGCGCTCCAGGGCCGCTGCGCACCGATGGCCGTCTGCGGCTGATGCATAGTTATCGCTGCGTTTTAGGTCCTTAAAACAAAAATGCAAACGAAATTAGGGGCAAAATGCTACTTCAGGTGAACTTTTGCCAGCAATTATTTTTACGTCTAAGGAAACGATTATAATATTGGATAGGCTCCGCATCAAATCACTGGTCAGTGCCCACCTATCGGGCTCGATATAAACGGTTGTCATCCTACTCTGACACAAAGTAGGGTGGTTTTTTTTTTTTTTTAATCCTGCATTTTATTCGTTTTCACCCTTTTATTACAGTTGAAGCAAAGGGGAATATTTATTATCAGATAAATATTTAGGAAAAATATTAAAGCGAGACGTACGTACTTCAAAATTTTAGAGCCAGTTCTTTATGTGTAGCTCATGTTTTCTGTTGATATTGAAAGGAAATGCAAGTTCAGCATAGTTAATGAGTTCACACCATTTATTCTCTGAAAAACTTTATAAAATTTAATCATATAAAGACCTGTAGTAGTGCTCTTGCTAAACCGAAAAACAATAAAAGGAAAGCTGTATTAGAAGAGATTTAGATGGATGTGATAAATTGTTAATATTTGGTTTATATTACACACAAAAATGGTTATGCTTAGAGAGGGCTTTCCTGTATTTTAAAAATCAGAAAGAGTGTTGGGATGGGTTTAGTTAGTTTGGCAGCGAATTTTCAAATGTTCACTGAGATACAAAGATGTTTAAGTCTGCTCTTCTCCCTGGAGGCTACATGGTAAAAATAATCATTACTCAAATACTGGTTTGGATAGGAACTGTTATTAGCTTAGAGCACATAGGCAAGCAGCTATCTTTCAGGTTGGTTTAGCTACACCTAACTTGGTGGGGAAAACACAAGGTGAGCATAGATTGCAGTTCTCCAAAATTATTCTAAAACTCTAATATTGATCATTCACATCTGTGAGGCAGAGGGACTTCCATTTATACTTCCTATACTAAGACTGTGCACTTAATCATTCAATGAACAAACATTTATTGGGCCCTCATGGCCTATGTATGCTGCTGGTTACTTAGCATCCATTCGGCTCCTGGAGGGGCTTGCACAGTGGGATGGCAACAGCCACACCTGAGATGAGTGTTATGATAAAGCCCAGGCTATTATGGGAACAGGCAGGAGTGGCACCCAATCCGTGGGGAGTGGCGCTAATGAAAGCAGTCAGGGAAGGCTTTTTGGAGGAGATGATATCTGAGTAAAAAATATATCAGATAAGTATGGGTTAACCTTGCAGAAAAGTGAAGAAAGGTATTTAAGGCAAGAGAAACAGCATGTGCAAAGACTCTTAAGTTATGAGAGACAGTGTCACAGCCTGGGATCCTCAAGAATTGCCAACTGCACCGTGGAATATGACACCTATTTTGCCAGGTTTAACAGTTCTGAAAATACTGACTGAATATTAGTACAGCAGTCCTCTCCAGCCTACAGTATTAGATTTCTGAAAATCCTTCTAGTTGAATTCGGTTGTTGAGGAACCTAAGACTTTATAGAACAAAATAGCCTTAAGTCATGAGTGAACCACCAAGGAAACGAACATATATTTTTTAACCTTCATTAAGATAACAGCCTACGGATAACATGTTCCACATCCTGCATTAGTAATAATGGGCACTATACAACTAAGTTCCTTGTTCCTTAGAAATTCTAGCATCACCCTCCACAGCAGGTTGAGAGATATGCTTACAAATTAAGTTTGCCCTTTTTGCAGAAAACATGCCTGCTAAGAGACATTTTCTTTGCACTGGTTCCTCATCCAGCTCAATGCCCTGGATTTTCTGATTTCCAGGGCCTGCTGGGTTCCCAAGGACCCAAAGGCTTGGAGTCCCAAACCTCTTATATTCAGTTCACTTCCCTCCATCCTAAGGAGGCAGGAGTGCAGCAATAAAAGTTCAGGTTTAATTTTCTTGAGCTTCTTTTAACCAAAAGTTTCCTTGCAAAAAGGGCTAATCCTGCACAGTCTTTCATGTTAACTCCTTTTATTCCCCCGAAGTTCCCTCTTTTTCTAAGTATCCCAACAATGGTCACATAAAATTCTCAGTGTTAACAAAAGATGCCTACTAGTGTAAAGCTGAGTACACTAACCTTTCCTCAAAGGGAAACTCTTGGTTGGGAAGGGATTTGCAGTATTTAAAAATACTTGTAATTCATGCCATAAATATTTACTGAATAACTAGGCAACACACAGTACCATCATTGTAGAGGATATAAATAAAAATACTGATAAAGGGATACCCAGTTAATCAAATGACCAGAACAAGGCAGTATGGTGAAGTGCAGTCAGGGCATTCAGAAAGAAAGCAGTCAGTTCTAGCTGGGTTGATCAGACATGATGGAGAAGATAGCAGACGATGTGGTTCTGAAGGATGACTAAGAGTCCAACTGGTAACGGGAATGAAATGGTAGAAGAAAGAGTATTCATAGGAGAGAGCAACAGTGTGAACAAAATGGCGGGAGAAGGCAACTGCCAGGTGTGCTTGAAGATGAGAGGGTTTATTTGGCCAGAGTTCACAGGAGAGTCCAACAACACTCCAGGTAAAACTGTTAAGAACTTGGGTGGAGGGAGTAGGACTAGAAAGTAAAGAGACATATGGTTTAATGGTAAAAATAATTACTTATAGTATCGTTACCCTGAAATGTGATTCATTTCAATTTGTTTCAAATACAGAACTTCCGCTCAAACAACAAAATAGAACGTGTCAAATGCACTGCAGTTTGCTGAATATAATAAACCTGAAATGTGGCTCTAAATATTAGTTTATGTGCCCAAGTCCTATTATTTCTTCTTAAAATATTTCTGGGATTTGCCTCATTATTTCAATTCCGATTGTGTTAATCATAGTCTCAGTTCTCATCACATCCTACCTAGAAACAACCTCCAAAACATGTTTTAAATCATTACTTTAATAAACCTTTATTAAACTCCTACTTTGCAGAAAACTATGCTAGTACTCTTCTAATAGTGGCTAGAGGGACCCCGCAGTGGCTGGTACAGGCTGTGTGGGTCCCGGGGACTATGAAGAACACAGTTCAAACTGCCCTTCAGGGCTTCATAATGCATGCCACCAAATCAATGTGCCTAAAACCCTGCCTCCATCTGTATCCCCCCCCTTCCCCAAGTCATTTATTTATTTAGTCATTTATAACTGCTCTTTATTTTGCCATTCCATAAAGCCACCCCCCCCCCTTTTTTTGGCATGGGTGTCAAAGCCTCATAATTTTTCCTCGCTCTATCCAACATCGTTTCTCATCACTGCCTAAGACAAGCTCTTCACTTTGGCTAGTAAATCTCGTCTTACCGCCGTCTTTAGAAATCAGCATGTTTTTCCTGCCTCCAGGTTTTTATTCATTCCTTTCTCTCTATTCTCCCTGTCTGGCTTCAGACTATCTACTTCTACTGAAATGCTACCTCAGAATATTTCCAGAAGCAGTCATCTCTACCTTAAAAGAATAAAGAGCAAATTATTAATCCTAGCAAACTATAGCAGGATGGACTCAAAGTTATTTCAATTTAACGGTATCTGCAATATACACAACTAAAACAAATTGGGCCTGTCTGAGAAGAGATTCGAATTTTTTAAAATTCACAAAACGGTTCTAGTGCTATTGGGATTAAAAAATAAGTTAGTAGAATATAATACATCTTGTTATATACTGTAAAATCCTAAATGTATAGGAAATCTACTCTGAGCACAGCAAAGATTTTGCAAAACTTTTGCAACCCTCTCCCCCTGGAAAAACAAAGGTGACTGGTTAAGTTTGACCATTTTTAGGACTTGCCTTCCTTAATTCCCAGTTGTATACAACATCTGATCTTTTCCTCACTATCCTAGTAGGCAGCTGATGAGACCTCTGTGGCAACATTTTAATGAAGATGGTACTAGATGCAGCTGGAGACATTGTGGGAGGCATATATATTGGATTGTCGGAAAAGTCATGACGCATTTTTGCAATGAAAAACATAGAAAATATACGTCATGACTTTTCCGACAACCCAATAGGAAATCATTTGGAACTTGAACAATAACAATATAGTGTTTAAGGACTGTCATCCATTCCAACAATTAATATGCCAGAAGAATAAAGGTCCATCTTTGAAAAGAAGAAAAACTGAAGAATTCAACCATATATATTTAAAAACATTTGGTAGTATTTATCTAAAAGGGATTTTGTTTAATTCCTGTTACCTTATTTAATCCAAAGGCTGGCACTCACTGTCACACTGCTGTGTATAGCCTGGTGTTAGTCCAAGGTTGTAGGAGGCAGAAGAATAAAAATGTGAGGGTGGGGAGAGGGGAAAGGGGGAGAAGGAAAGGGGAGGAAAAGGGAAAAGTAACAACCTTTAGATGCCTTACAGTTTTGAGCACATGAAACACACTACTTAAGCGTTAGTTTTACTAAGCAACACATACGAATTAGCATGGTATAAGTGGTATGTGAAGGGTGAAGGGATGTAACTTAGAGGAACAAGAGAAAAAACTGTTACTGAAGTAGAAATTTACATTGAACGATGTAAGTGAAATCTATTAGTCGGTGATGGACAAAAAGATTGACAGGGAAGAGGGCCCTCAAGAGAGAAACTACTG